CCGAGCAGGACCGCTGGACGCTCTTCACGGTACTGATGCGACCAGTAGGGAACGAGGAGGACCGGAGGCGCCAACCTTCTACGGTTTAACGGGACTAGGGACCGGAGGCAGCGCGCAGCAGGTCACTTACAGCAGACTCATCTGCACCCCCGTCCCCGCCGGTGAGTGCAACCCGAAAAACTTGCAGCAACAAGCGGACGACCAGTCGTTATACGCGGGAGAGGACTGGGGGCACCTCCGCACCACCGCCGAGGAGCTCCGGCAGACCGTCCTACAGCAGAAGGATGAGATCCTCACGGATCAGAGAACCATACGGGCCCTAACGGGAAAGCTTTCGGAATGCGAGAGTGGCTTGAAGGGACGGAAGGTCCCGGAACGGAGCGCGGGACTTGGGGATGCGCGAAAAGAGAATAAGGAGCAAGTCATGATGCGGGACGACGCGGGGTCCTCGATGCGGACCACTCATGTGATGGAGGAGCTGGTGCATGCCATAACTCAGATGAAAGACCGCATTGAGAAACTGGAGGTAAAGAAGGCGCGAGACCTTATAAATGCGGTATTTAACGAGGTGGTCGAGAATATGTGGGAGAGAATACAGTTTTATGGGTCGATAACAAATAAGAGATGATAAAATTGGGAAATCTATTAAACATGTTTGCAATCATGTCAGTTTCACATTTTTTAAAACATTTAGCCTATACCATTTTTTCTAAAAAATTAATTAATTAAAAACATTCAGTTAAAAACATTTAAGGTAAAATATTTGTGAATTGTTATATTATTAATGTAATTTTTTCAAAGTCATGAATAAGATTTTCCTACAGTTGCTCTATTTGTCCTTAATCGTGCTTTTTAAATGTCAAAATATGTAAATTTGTTTTATAAAATGATAGTCACGTGACTACAAAATGGCCCCCTGCATGTTTGTTACGTCACACTCTTTTATTTGACGAAAAAGTTTTTTTTCATATGAAAAAAGTTTTCTAGCCTATATATAGATAATGTATTCTAACAAAATTCCTTTTTTTTTTACAATTTATTTTTTAAAGAACAAATCATTTAATGAGACTTCTTTTAATGAGACTTTCTTTGTTTCTCAGTCGCTGCACAGTTGTTTTAAGCACCTCAAAAATATAAACATAAAATACATTAATTTAAAAAATGTTTATTTAAAAAAGCAATTCGAATAATTTAAGTGAGCGTGCGTCATTGACCTGTTTATGAATAAAGCTGGTGCTGAATGTTAGATAGGCTACTGTCTGACCTGTTGATAAACGCGAATAGTATGATAGGAGCCTAATATTTGCTGTTTTGAAGATGTAGGTATATGTGCTGCAGTGTGCTCAAACTTCATCTCTCCTGTGAGTAGTTTGCGTTTCAGCTCACGTACGATCGCGCGCCTGTGCCCTGATTTATCGTTGCGCGCTAGATTCGCGTCCCTGATTGGGTTTCCATGGAAATATAGGCTACGTGCGCAGTTTCCGATAGGAGCAACAAATTACATCTCCATCAGGGCCACCTGCGCATCTGATTAACCTCGATCTAACCCAAATCTATCAGTCTCATGTAAATCTAGACATAGTACTAGAAGGTTAATAGCATAACGGTAGTAAATAACCTATATTTTACTTACAAATAAAATTAAATGGTAAATAGTAGGTAGCCTATATTTCAGAGTGTAAACCACGAATAGCCTATTTTTAGTGTTCTCCAATCAGTGACTACAGCATGTGTGACAGGCTGCAGGGGAGAGATGAGAAACATGATACACTCCACTAAAAGCATATTATGGACTCCTGCAGCTGTGCATGACAGCTCTGCAAGCTTGCTGGCACAGATAACTTTGAGGTTATCCCACAATAGAATAGGATAGAATTTGTTATTGCATGCAACTGGGGAAGTACTGTGTTGTGATGCTTTGTAATTGGCCTCCTTAAAGGGTTAGTTCACCCAAAAACACAAATTCTATCATCATTTACTCACCCTCAAGTTGTTCTAAACATGTATGAGTTTCTTTCTTCTTCTAAACACAAAAGAAGATATGTTGACACCAAACAGTCGCTGGTTCCCATTGACTTCCATAATATGGAAAAAATACTACAGAAGACAATAGGGACCAGAAACTGTTTGGTTACGAACATTTTTCAAAATGTCTTCTTTTGTATTCAGCAGAAGAAAAAACGAATATAGGTTTGGAACCCCTTGAGTAAATGATGACAGAATTAGCATTTTTGGTGAAATATCTCTTTCAACAACCAGCCTGATATGATGCATCATGAAATCTTAAATTTGAGCAGGGTTTGGTTTATTGCAGTATATTGCATGATGCATAACGGTTACACCTGAAAATAGGTTAATAGTTGTATTTTGAGAAATAAAAGCTTGTATTTATGTGTATAAAAATGAATTAATGTGATTCTTATGTCACTATGCACATGACAGGAACATCAAATAGTCAAAATATTGATTTTACATGCTATTAAAGTTAAATGTCATATGATTACTGTCTTGTTTACAGTCTGAAATGGCACCACCAGCGTTCAATCACACAGACACAAGCTCACAGAAAGCAGCAGGTGCTACTCGTATGCCAATGGCAGCTGCACAGAGAAGAGTGGAGGATCTGGAAGGAGAACTGAAGAGAAAGATAAAACTGCTGGAGGAGGAGAGGAAAGCACTGCGGAAAGAGACACAGAAACATCAAGAGCATATTGAGTACGGGCTGGACACTGTACACCAGCGGATAAGCAGCCTGGAGAAAGGTGAGGCAGAGGTCGGATTTACTGCTGGAAGAAATATTGATTAAAAAGACCGATTTTACCAAGAGCTTCTTAAAGTGATAGTTGCTAAAGTGTTTACTCACCCTTATGTTTTGTTCCAAAACTGTATGACTTTCTTCTTTCTCCTGTGGAATATAAAGGAAAATATTTTAAGTGTTGAGTGCCGCAGTGTTTTTAGTTTGTATTTATTTATTCATTTATTTATTTGTCAGTACAATGGCAGTCAGTGGGCTCCATTGTGGTTTGGCTCCCAGCATTCTCTAAAATATCTACTTTACAGTTTTGAAACAACATAACACTAAGTAAATGATGAAAGAATTTCATTTTGCGGTTGGACAAAGGAATGTATAATATAAGTGAATTATAATGATTAATTAAAGGAATGTTCTGAGTTCAAAACAAGTTAAAGGGATAGTTCACCCAAAAATGAAAATGTGATGTTTATCTGCTTACCCCCAGGGCATCCAAGATGTAGGTGACTTTGTTTCTTCAGTAGAACACAAACAAAGATTTTTAACTCAAACCGTTGCATTCTGTCAGTCATATAAGCAGCTCTTCCATGTATGCCATCGTAAAGCAGGAAATCCCAGCCCTCCCCGCTCTGACTGCCTGCATGTGGATCAAGCCTGCGAAAAGCATCTTGGGAACAGCAGTTTCTTATGCTGTTTCTGACCAGAGCCACGAATTTGTGCTTCAGCAGTTGGTTCATGGGCCCATTGAGCTCATCATTAATAATGAGGTAAAGCATCACAGAATCAAATTTGACAGACAGGGACCGGAATTGTGAAGATTTTAATGATTCTGATTCTTCATAATAATTATCTTAATACTTGTAATGAATAAATATTTGGAATAAAGACATTTATTTTTATTGCTAAATGATGCGATTATTACTTTATACAGACTTTTTAATATCTTTTTACAGTCTTTTTAGAGGTGCCATAATTGCAGTTTATTAATAAACAAACAATAACATGCCATATTTCACATGGTTGATTAGTTGGATTAATACCCCGTTTTGGAGTTCCCGCCCCCATTTGGAGATCTCCAGGCTGCAGTTATACCCTTCTCCAAATTTTGGCCATTGTAACTGGTTGCCAGACGGTGGTAGTTCAAGATGAGCAGCATTTGGTATTCACACAGCATGGAAAAGTTACCATCAACACAAACCAAATCCGAAACACGCCTTTTTGTTTATACTTTCCTTTACCTTTACCTTTACCTTTCCCTGCCCTCTTCATCCCTCTCTCGTGAAACTCCAGTGCACTTATCCTTTCATTAGACCTAGTGAGCTTAAAGTCGTCCTATGTTTCATGTTGTTTTATTTAGTCTGAGGTTGTGCTTTTAAGCTATGGACTGACTATGATAAACAAAATTATAAGGAAAACCATGTTTCCAGAGATGTTTCATTTGGTAAGTGAATTTTCTGGGAATTCTCTGAGCTGGTTCGTACTACATTGCTGTATCACTGGCTGATTTGAGCTTATCTAATAATACATCGGTGGATGTTTCTGGGACCATTTTTTTAAATTAATATTGGAATATAAGACACTTAAAATGACACATTACAATGTTGCATCGAATTTTTAAGAAGCTGTAATGTTTTAATATCACTGGAGCTGAAATGAAAAAGATTCCACTATTTCAGAAACAGTCAAATGTGCTTTTGTTGTTTTTATCATTGTTTGAAGTTTAAATGTCATTTTGGACAATCATTCTTGTGGCACAATATATATTTCACACTAACACTGATTTTTTTCATTGTCTCATTGTAGGTGTTTTTTTGTGTTTTTTCCCATTTTATTTAGAAAGTAATGGTGCAATGATTGCTTAAAGTTAACTGTCTTAAAGTTATGCTTCCAAGAAAGTCAATATCTGGATGCAATGAAATTCCAACTACAAAGTCATCAGTTTTTGTTTGTTTCTTTAAAATAGTATTTAAATAGCTTTTATAAAAAAATAAAAATAAAAATAAAATGGAGTTTTACAAAAAAAAAATCAGATCTAAGCCAACCATTGATTTCAATGAATAATGAGATTTTTTTAATATGATTTTTTTACATTACAAAAAATGTTATATGATTTTTATAATTTGCTGCACAGTCTGAATACATTATTGAAAAGAATTTGGCATTTTCACACAGAAACTGCAAGTACATTTCACAAACAATTCCAAAGAAACGGCAAAGTAACAACTGTTTATTTAAGCAAGACACTGAATTGAACGTGAAATTTTGAAGTAGAAAAACAGAAATGGTGTGTTATTGTAAAACATACTCCAGTAATCTTTGTTTTATTTACAATTTTGAAAAAAAATAATAATAATTTACAGTGTATTTCCTGTCTCCTGCAGAGCTCAATGGGTGGTCTTCGTTTCGAAGCGTCGCGGGCTATGGTGGGAGAGCTGTCTGATTTTAACATGTGGGACCGGCCGCTTTCACACAGAGAGCTCTCTGCTCTTGCCCACTGCAGCACGGGGATGCTGGGTAATGTAGTCCCGTGGACCAGCCGTGAGGTGGAGGTTTTCGGAGGGGTCACCAAGCAACTGGCCGATCATTGCGAGCATCGCACCGGCGCCAGACAGTGATGGGCTCTTGAGGGCTCGTTTAAGGGTCAGAGAGTCAAAGACAGTGTTTAGAGATGCAAAGAAACACCATGCCATGGTTATGGTCTTTTCTTTAAGGCAAAGTTTTTTGTCAGCGGTGTTTGCTAAAATATGCCTTGCCTAACTATCATTACTGTTCAGGGTTAGTGATTTGAACAAACCCCTAACCCTAAGTATTAAACAACAGCGCATAAGTCGTCCCACACTGTTTATGCTATGAATAAGAATGATACCTCAAATAATGCAGCTTGTTGAGGAGAAGTGTGCTCTTATTTTTCTAAGCAATCAAACCTGTGATTTTAACTTGGCAGATGATAAAATGGGTGCAAATATTCTAGACTTAAAGGGATAGTTCAGCCAAAAGTGAAAATTCTGTCATCATTTACTCACCCTCAAGTTGTTCCAAACCTGTACGAGTTTCTTTTTTCTGTTGAGCACAAAAGATGATATTTCGAAAAATATATGTAACCAAACAGTTGCTGGAAGCCATTGACTTCCATAGTATTTTTTTTCTCTCTATACTATGGAAGTCAGTGGCTACCAGCAACTGTTTGGTTACCAACATTCTTCAAAATATCTTCTTGTGCTCAAAGGAAGAAAGAAACTCGTACAGGTTTGGAACAACACAAGGGTGAGTAAATGATTACAGAATTTTCACTTTTGGCTGAACTATCCCTTTAAGTTGTGGTCACATTTACCATTGTTTGGTGAATATTTTTTGGGGGGGGGGTTTCCGCAAGATTCACAGATTTCGCAACGGGCTCAAATTGGTCATGTGGATTCACTTGACCAAAAAATGATTGGTTTGAAAGTGACTTCTGTGTGAGATGTTCTTCATACATCACTACACTATTGACAATTGACCCTTCGCAGGGAGTTTGATTGACTTTGCTCCGTGATGTATTTTTCACTGATGTTATGTGAGAGCGCCATGGCTTTTCGGACATAGAGAAACAGTATCGAAGGAGTATCACAGGCTCTTTTCCAACTAGCAATGTCCAGACCCTAGCAATATACTATAGACATTCAGAACAGCTTAGCAATCGCATTACAATGCCCTGACAACAAACCACAACACTTTTACATCATAGGGGCGAGTTTTGCGTGGGAAAGCATGTCTCTTTTTAAATGATTTACATTTTTTACTTATTTATTACTAGTTATACCTTGTTGAACATCTGAGTGACAAACCTCAGTGTAAACATTTGATGTGGGATCTTCAGGCTTGGTGTTTGATGAAAGGATTGATTTTTTCCCACGTTCAAAGCAAATATTTGCATACTCATTCAGATTTGTTATTTATACAGTGTATTTGATTGAAATTAGTTTAGAAAAAACACACTGGCACAGCTGGGAATTTGTTTGCTTTTATTCTGCTGTTTTTTTATACTAGGTTTTTTTTTTTGTATGTTTGATCTCAAGTTTTTTATTTTATTATTTTTTTTATGTTTTTGAATCACACTGTTACTATGGTGATCACTCCAGCAGACTGAATCCTATTGGTCAGACCAGTCCTAGTTGAATTCTCCTCCATTAAAATCCCTTTAACACCATCAGAATCGCATCGAATTAGAACGAACAGACTGAAAAGGGAGCAGTTGAAAAAGACATTTGGCCAGACGAATACGTCAGCAATATTTCATAGAATAACTACATTAACCTGAAAAGCCATGGTTTTGAAACCCTTTACAATGTGGCATCTACAATAACATGCTTTCTGAGAACTGTTTTCAGTGTTAAACGTAATCTGCAAATATCTACATACAAACGAATATCTTCTCATGCTGAGAAATTAGCATGTGTAGCCTATATAGATTTATACAAAAATCTACTCAACAAAATTATATTTGTAAAATAAGCAACAAACATTCCGAATAATGAATGTATAATACTTACACAATTATATGTACATTCCACCGTCTATCTATCTCTCTTCATAACTGTGACTGAATAGGTATCTCGGAGCTTATGTAAATTACGCTGCACGTGCTTTATGTGAATTATACTCTATGTATTGTTTATATGTAAAATGCAGCAGGCTGGAAAATGCCTGTTTTGTGGCCTTGTCAAACACAAGAATGTTGTCCCAAATGCGCAATCATAAGATATACTGTATATACACACTGATGGACAGAACTGAGATTATTATGGATGTGGTTTCATTTTGGTGCAAACAGTTGTTTTATAAGCATGTGGTTTGAGATTCCGTGGCCATTTGATCATCATAATGGTTGGGAATTGTGTTTTTGAAAGTGTTTTAGCACTAAATATATTTTCTTTTGGATGTACAGTATTGTGTATTCGCTGTTGTTAGTGCAATGCCTGTTTGTTTGCATTTCAGTGGTCATTTTGTGATGTTCTATTCTCTTAATGTACATGAACAAGCTTTACATTGTATTCAGAAAGAGTGGCTTACAAATG